TCATTTTAAATTGCAGCTAACTTTTATAAGGTGTTTATGATGGGTGAGGTTCTACAAGAATAGTGTTCCTGATACTCTCTCAAACACCACTTCAACTGTCTAAACTCACTTTTACAGAGTAGGACATCCGGACCAGGAAGATAGCTCAGCGACAGAGGGCCTGCCACCCGGCCAGCCAACTTGAGAAAACTGACTCCACAAAAACTATCCTCTGACCCCCACATGTGCACACAGTCACGTACAAACTAAATCAGGATATTCAAAGAATTTGCTCCAAGTCACGGGGCCACTATTTTCACCATGGTCTAATTTCTGCTTCTCCTACAAATTATACCCTACCAGCTTTACCAGTTCTAACGTCATCGGTTCAAGCATAAAACTTTTTTGCTCAGGCAATTATGAGCAGGTGGTGTCCATTCTATTAAAATATGGTTCGCTCCAGGCTCTGAGGCTTCTGTAACTTCTTCGGTGGGTCCTGCAGGGTGGGTGTCTGGAAACAAGTTCTACAGAGACTACGGAAATCCTTGTAGATTCTCTCTTTACTAGAGAAGGAAGTTAGGCTGGAGATGCCCTCTGCTCCCCAAACCCAACTCCCGCTTAAGGTTTATTTATTTATTTTTTTATTTTATGGGCATGTGCATCTCTGTGCACGGGCACTGATGCCAGATGGCATCAGATCCCCTGCAGCTGGAGTTACAAACAATTGCAGGTGCTGGAAACCAAAGTCTGGTCCTCAAAGAGCAGCAAGCTGAGGCATCTCTTCAAGCCCCCATATGCCCTTATTAAGCTCTTTCTCTGAGACCTCCCACATGCCGGGATGCACAAAGAGTACCAAGAAGGAAGCCAGCACCAGTCCTGCCAAGCTGAGGATCGGCAACAGGTGGGTTGAGCTCGCCCATTTCTTTCCCCACAAACCCCGGTAAGATTCAAAGCCTGCCTAAGACTCAGGTCTTTGGGAACTGAGGGTCTCCTACTGTCGTTCTGGGCCTCAAAAATCCAAGCCACGCTTCTGGTATTCCTTGGAGACTTTAATTCTCCATCCAGTCCAAGAGATGTCCAAGAGATCGGGGCTCTCTAAACCGGAGACGCTCAATTCCAAGATGCTTTCGCCAGTGGACTGTCCACGGAAAACCCAGTGTACCTCCTACCCGGCGGAGCAGGGCCACTGAAGCGCCCACTCCGCTTGCCGTCCCTAACCGTTCCCGCCCGACTCGGGGTCCCGCCCGACTCGGGGTCCCGCCCCCGCGTGGCAGGCTACCGGCCGAGCAGCCCGGTCGCCGCGTTCTCCCGCGCACCGATGACTCATCCCCGCCCCAAGAGAAACGTGGGGATTCCACGCCCCGCCCCCGCGCGCTCGCGCGCCGCCCACGCCCCCGTCCGGCCATCAGTTGCCCTTTAGCCGGAGACCGGGCGTGTGTCGGCGTGGCTCCCCTGGGAAAGGTCAAAGGACTCCCGGCCACG